CTCTGGTTCCCTCCTCTCTGGTTCCCTCCTCTCTGGTGCCCCTCCTCTCTTGTAGTTGTAGAAGAGTGCAAAGGCTCAGTGGCTACATTATTTTTTTATAAGGGGAGTTCGCTGTCATGGTTCCTGGTGATAATGGGTAGCGTGAACTGAAATCAGCTGATTCCCCTGAAATAGTATATAAATTAGAAACAAGGTAAAATAATGAAATGAAAAAAAATAATCGTAAATTGATGATCTTCCAAGGATATAATCTTAAAAATCAGAAATTTAATTTTGAAAATGGGTTCATATATACAACTAAATATAAAGAAACTCATTCGCACATTAAGAGGGAAAGGAAAACCGAAAAGGAAAATTTATTTTGTATATTTCTTTAAATGTTTTTTGACGCGCCGAGTATTCCACTGGCCAGAGCGTTCCAAACATTCGCACAGGATAACTAAACCGTGAAGAAGGTTTAAACCCGCTATATTTAAGTCACAAAGACGTAACAACAGTGAAATAGATCGAAATGGAAGTTCAGTGGTAGATTGATACGTAAAATAGATGTGTCTTCAAGTGAGAGCAAATCTTTTGTAGGTGGAAAAATGGTAACTAAAAAATGTATTTTTCTGTAGCTTTGACCCATTATTAAACCTAAGGTAAAAGAAAATCATGATATCAAATAAATTAATTGACTGTGGAAGTCAATCAAGAAGTGAAAAATATTTTACACGTTATATAGTTACCAAAAAAAAGCAAAAAAAGCGTGGATGAGGCAAATTAAAATGAAATCGAGCAAAGCCAAAAACAACAACAAGAAAACAGAAAACTGCCTATCCTTAAGAAGAAAACGAAAACAGCAATTAATGAAGGAGGCGCTGACCGGGGTCGCGGGAGATCGAGACGGATGATGGAGAAACAGGAGGCTGTGAGATGCCCCCTTGTCTCATCTCATGCCCCTCGCATTTCATCTGAAGCCTTCGTGCTATCCGCATCACCTCCCTCTCGCCCACCAACTCGAGAACATCCACGACCTCCTCTGAAACCTAGGAGTCCTCTACAGACTCTTACAAGCAAACAACTCTGTTCTTTTTCCAGGCTTCACGAGGCAGAATCAGCCTTGCATGTTTTGACGGATCTTTTCCTAGAGATATTGCAAAGTGTAGGGATTTCCCTGTCAAAAGACTTCCATGCCTCTCTTATTCACTACTAATCTCGCCAGCATATTTTTCTCCTGGGAATTTTACATAAAAAACAAATGAATAAATAAATAAAAAATAAATAAATCGTCATCCATAGTGATGTACATTAGTGATGTTTTAATCACTACCCTAATCATTTAGTATTAACAGGTATAATAACTCACCTCGTCCGTCGTCAGTGTATAAATAACCCCTTTATGCACAAATATTTATGCTGCTTACGTCGAAAAGGCTATATCCCAAGTAACAAAGGCAGTAATAGTAATCGAGGCAACTTTACCTATCATTCTACTTCTCCTCATATTGATTAGTAAAACAACTGTCTTGTTATATATCATCATAGACGCAATTATCATTATTGCCCTTGCCATTCATCCTAATACTATTATGAATGCCATCATTCCCATTGCCATTATTACTCCCATCGTCATTACACTCGAAGCTCTCATACTCTCCTGCCACTTTGCCCACTGAGAGCGCTTGCCTTGTACCCCCAGATCGAGCTCTCAAACCTTACGTCACTCTCGTTCCTTCCTTAAGCCCTAGTACCTTTTAATCCGCTGGTTTCTCTCATAATGACCTGCTCGGAGAAAGGGAACAGTCGATACAGGCCATCCTCGGATTTCCCCTCTCGCTATCTCTCTCCAGACTGGCTGTTTACCCTTCGTCTTCCAACTGTTGTTCGGTTTTCAGTGCAAATGGGCTAACACTTATCATTACCATTAGCATTATCATCACTCTTATTATTACCATTTTTGTTATTAGTAAAGATGTTAATGATCCTAAAAATAATAATGATAATAATAATAATAACAATAATAATAATTGTAATAATATATTGATATTAATAATGATAGTAATAATGACGATAATAATAGTAATAGTAATAATAAGGTAATGATAATTATTATAATAATAATTGTCTTTATAATGATATCGTTATTATTGTTCTTATTACCATTATCAATATTGACATTACTATCACCTTTATTGATGTCCTTGTTATTATCACTACAATCATCATTAGTAAAGCATTTGTCATTATTCTTGCTACATATCATTACTGATGTAATTATCTTGTGCTCATCCTTATTATCATCATTGTTCTCATCATTGTATTATTATCATTATTATTTTTATTGTCCTGTGTTCAAAAAGGAAAAAAAAAAACTAGAGGAAAATTCGGAAAAATCGCCGATGGCTGGGAGTCATCATCATACCATAAGGGATATTTTGGTATTTATTCTACTAACATTAAAAGCCTATTGATGATGTAAGTTAAATCAAGGTATTTGTGGCTCGATTCATTCGGCTTA